TAAATCTTCAGGTAAGGTTAATCGCGAGGCATTCCTCAATAATGAGCCCAACTGAGGTAGCATTTTTCTTTCAGCAACGTATACACGCCCAGGCATTCAGGTTTTTAGATATTCCAAGAGTCTTCGTAAGGCTCAGAAAGTACATTTTGTGTTTGCGTGTAAGTGCCTCCTCTTGAGAGAAAACTTGCAAAATGTAAGAGAGAGTTTTAAGTAACTACCCGTGAGTAGCTGTCCTAAGAGAGTTTAAGTTGTTTGTCTGTCTTCCTGTGCTTCAACAACTACGTTCTTTAGGTACACACACTTAGATCGGTCCGTACACTAGACAAGAACTATTAAAATTTAAGGAAAATACTTGTTTAAAGGATTATTGATGTTATATAAAGTATTACTGCACTTCACCCTAACCTGATATCCCTTTACCTAACCTAACCTAACTTGATATTCCTTAATCTAACCTAACCTAATTTAGCCTAACCTGACCCATCTCATAACAGCCCCAAAAAAGTATTAGGATTGGATCTCATTATAGCTCAAGATCAGTAAGACAAGTACCCATTAATATTAGGCTCTCCTCTCTATGGTCAGGAGGCTAGGGAGTGTTCAGTCGAATCACCCCCTCCTACACGACCCATCACTCCCTACACGACCCATCACTCCCTACACGACCCATCACCCCCTACACGACCCATCACCCCTCACACAGGAATAATTGACACCAATAACTGAATGGCAACAAGTACACATAAGCTCTGACGGAATACTCCTACTATTTTGTATATGTGCGTGAACGTGTGTGTGTGTGTGTGCGTGAACGTGTGTGTGTGTGTGTGTGTGTGTGTGTGTGTGTGTGTGTGTGTGTGTGTGTGTACAACTTCAGTGACGAAATACTTTATCTAAAAGCGATAATTTTCTCGTTAAGTAAAACATTTTCGCCTGGATGATTCTTTTGGTGTAGTTTAGGTCGAGCTGGGCGGACGAGTGTGTGTTTCAGTTCCCGGGTGACTGGTGGGGATGATGATAGCAACAAAGGTATCACAGTGTAGAGGCAACACAATAGAGCTACAAGGGTGAGAATATAATACAAAGGGAGTCTCACTGTCAAACACGACTGCTATAGCTGATTTTTTTATTTTTTTTTTAGTTAGGGATATAAAGCAGCCCGTTTTCTGTGTAATATTTAACACTAGGATAATCTACAATAAATCCTGAACCTGTTGTTATAGAATTTATCCCCACGTTACAGCAACTAAGATCTTTAATCATCATGTACTGTTAGTTATTAAATACACAAGTTATCACCAATCAAAACTTTAGGAGGATGTATCTGCGTTTATCTTGATTTAATCCGAACACCTTAATTTGTCTTTCGGAAAATGAGGGTTGGTTAGGTTAGGTTAGGTTAGGGGTAATTTTTTTTCCTCCACTTATCAGCAAATTAGTCCATCATTCGGTTAGTCGATCTGTTCTACGTTATTTTGTTACGGTCTTCATTGTCCTGTGTTAATGCAATATAAAAGTGGCGTACCCTGTGATGTTTGGTAAGGTCTATAACATCCTTCTCACATCAAACCTGGACCGGGGATCGAACACAGGATACAGTAGTGAGAGGTTGGATAATCTTGTTTAAGTTAATCTCCAAGCAGGTACCGAACTCGGGTGTATAACAATCGAACCTAATTTAGCCTCATCTTAACCGGTTTAAACACAACGTAACATAACCACTTTTAGACTTACCTAACCTAACCTAACCTAACCCACCACTAAATTAACCGTATCACACGGACAATCTCCACCCCGCCCCCTCCACCTTAAGAATCTCGTCCCCAGCGTTACTTGGCATGGGGATTCTTCAGGTGATCCAATTAACCTACACTAACCCAACCCACCATTAATCTAATCTAACCTAATCTTACCTAAGCTGATCCACCCCCAATTTTAATCTAACCCATTACAGTTTTAAGAGTGAACTTCCGGCTTGGTTTCCGTGTGTATGTTAGTTTGGCTCAATAATTTGACAGGGTTAATATGGCCACACTGTCCAGGAGAACGAGAAAAACAATAAAAGGAGTGAACATTATCTCTGGCTAAGTAGACCCGTTAGTTATATGTTGACGTTTACTGTAATGTAGTGGAAGCAAGAGTGGGTGTGAGTGTGTGGGCGTGGGTGGGTGTGGGTGTGTGTGGGTGTGTTGTGGTGTTACTTTTGCCTAAGTCTTCTGTTGAACTTCCTGCCACATGTTGTAATAGCAATCTTTTTAAATCCTGCTGCGGTGGATAGATTTCACAGTGCCACTTGTCTGATTTCTCTCTCTCTCTCTCTCTCTCTCTCTCTCTCTCTCTCTCTCTCTCTCTCTCTCTCTCTCTCTCTACCTGTGCGAGTGTTTGTGTCGATTCACTATTTCCTGTTATAGTTTTGAAGATACAAAGCTGAAATTTGGTATGGAGATGAGCGTGCACCCCAAACATGTTTCAAAGGTGTAATTTCTGAGGTTGGGCGGCTACCACTCCCAGAGGTGGAACTCTCTCTTTAAAAACACGTCTATATTGAGGCGAGACCCCCCCCCCTGCACACGACGACCACCATAGACTCTCATCTGCCCACCTCCGACGTCTCCACCTTCTCGGGTTTCTTGTTTCAGTATTATCCTTTTTCGTAATTTTTTTCCTCATTTCTATTATTTTATTTTTTGCTAATATTCTATCTTTCATAAAAAGACTTTTACAACATGTTTCCTCCTCTACTAGTCCGCTGTGTTCTTTGTTACAGAGGACCTAACCCGATTGATTGGTGATCACACGATTATTTCAGTGAAAGGCGTTCAGCAAGGGGTTCCCCTCGCCCCACTATTATTCTGTCGAATGACAAAACAGCTCATACAGACAGTCTATCGAGCGAAGGCATTATTTGGTTCTTAGAAGACGGCACTCTAACGAGTTCGGTGGATCCAGTCTCAGAGAACATCAGACGAGTGATGGTTCAAGGAGAGGCAGTAGGCGTCACCCCTCGGAGCGCCACTGAACACAAATAATATCGCTCTCGTCTTCCAAAATAACTGGGCGACATGAAGAGAATGGAGGAAAGAATGTATCACCTGGGTGCTCACGATGCCTTGTACCTATTCACAAAAGCCATGGCTGGCATACTGCCTGAGTTGAACATCGTCATTCACACCACAAATTAAGGGAGTACGATAACTACTAAAATTCACACTCATAAAAGCCGTGATCCTCTTCTTATAGGACTCTCAATGGGAACAAGTAAATCTCCGGTCAGCCAAGGAAGAACTGACATCCGCAATACCTGTATTTTCCAGATCCCATCGCCAGCATTCCTATCCTCCTGTATAGCAACGAACAGTTTGGAAAAATTGTTCTAGAAGGGTTACAGGAGTAAATGACTCAAGATGTATGGAGGTAATCACCCAGTGAAGAAAATCACATCCCAAGCAGCCAAAGAAGCCCACTGGGACTAGCCAATCGTAAAGAGGATTGCCTCATACATACTTAAGAGGACACCAACTCACCTGAGACCTCATCTTGCTTCTCCTGTCCACAGTATTTAAAAGTGCCTCTGTAGCACCAATTGTACAGACCAAAACGGCATCCTAGCCCTCAACTGCGGTTCCTTCTGGGATGGCACGTGAGGTGATATGACAACACATGCCCAGTAGGACTCACAGTGCTGGTGAATATAAACGAAGGGAACACTGCACTTGGAGCGATACCATATTTAATCCAGAACTGTTTCAGTGTCTCAAGCTATGAACTGACAGTTTATAGATGGAGAAACACAGAGACAGTAACACAAACACAATAACACAGAAATTCTAACACAGACACTTAAGAGGAAGTATTGTGACGAGGTTGGTTTGTGAAATCACGTAGTCAGGTCACGAAAAATGCTTGTGTTACTATGTTAGTACTGCCGGCTGAGTGTGTGAGCCGCTGAGCCAGCGTTGGAATAAATAAGTTATCACTAAGAATGGTTTTCATATATATATATATATATATATATATATATATATATATATATATATATATATATACACACGAGTATATTGTAATGTGGGGGGGGGGGACTGATATTTACCCTGGTTTCCTTTACATCATCAATGTATTGTACTCACCTGAAGGAGACAGTAAGAGGGGAGAGACAGAGGCCGTGTGAAGCTTGGCTGCTGCAGGTGGTGGTACTGAGAGCTTGTATTGAGGTCACAATTAACACGTTAGTTGAAGGTAACACTCGATACTTGAACCCTCAGACTCAGTCCAACTGGGGGTCTCTTGTTAAGTGTCTTAGTGTTTCGTAGTTCTGTGATCACTCTCAGGGAGAAGTTGCATAGAGATATTCCTTTCTCACCTTTATAACCTTGAAGTACTTTCGTAGGCGAGGATTTCTTGTGTTACATTTCACTTAGTAATTCCTTTTGTCACTTAAGTAAACTTGTGTGATATTTGTTGCATGGACGTGTTGTGTTGTTTTGTGTTAAATGGCAGTGGTTTGATAATTAGTCAGTTCATTAAGTCTCAAAACTGAGGCGGTAGTTCCGGTGAGAGAAACACACGGTCGTAATACTACAAGTAAACACTGACGCAAGAAACACTGAGCAACTGTTGGGTGTAGCGGAGTGTAGTGTAGCTCGACGGTACACACACACACACACACACACTATGACACCGACACGTCTATAGGTACTGCCTCTCGCCTTCACTCACTCGGACAAGATGAAACACTTAATTCACATTTATAACCCTTATAATATACCACAGAAAAGTCGTCATACTTAGCACTTAAAAAGTTTGGGGTGAGTTTCGGTGTGTGGCGTCTCTACTTTACGACATTAATAAGAAACATTAAAACTTTCCCCCTATCAATGTTGAGTCCGACACCAAGTAACACGAAACACTATAATATTAACAGTGTCCAGAGGAGTAACTTTAAAAATACTCTACAGTACATATGGAGGGAAGGAATCGTCAGGTAAAAATTCCTATCTTACCAAGTGGAGTTGGGGCCCTGGAGAACAGCGCGGTGTTTCAGAGACGCTCAGAAAGTTTGTAACAGGGAAACATTATGCGTCGTCCAGAATAAGATTTTCAGAACATGTCTCTCTTCCTCTCCTTCCTGAAGTGTATAAGTCAATACTGGAAGTACCTTAGCCAAGTCTTGTGTATTGCATTACTCTCGATCTTTCCTCCACTTGTTCATTTGTCTTGAATGTCGTCATCCTCACTTAACCGGGACCTATACGCAAAGTTCAGTTGAAATATCGCACATCCATCCACGGATTTAAGAAGAGAGGCTGGTAGTTATCATCTAGCTAAAACATCAAAGAAGGAATTGTAAATATTCGACGAATTTATGCTAAATTAGCTTTTGATATTACACAATGCGTTTGATGTTTGTATACACTTAATGTCACTAGTGGAGACGGATGTGTCTTTCCTCTACCCTGCCTCATATAGGAGTCCTAACACGTACATCTTCTCTATTTTCAGATATGGATAATCTTTCAAGGTGTCTCGGGTAAGTGCAGCAGCTGTGTTTCGACGGATGCGGCACAGAAGAAGTTAAGCCGCAAGTTGCCCCTCTACGGGTGCGGCACAGCAAGAGCCGTCGGGTTTGGAGGTAAAGGGTTCGATGCGTCAGCTCGTGGCGTGATGGTCCACCACTGACTGGCTGACTGCTGTACACCATACACCCGCCACCCGCCCGGACCTGCCCCCTCACATGCGCACCTCGCTCGCACGTTCTCTCTCTCTTTACGCATTTCTCTCTCTCTCTCTCTCTCTCTCTCTCTCTCTCTCTCTCTCTCTCTCTCTCAAAATCTTCAACTCCAATTTTCACTCTTTCATTTTACTCTTATCTTTACTCTCGCTTCACGACATATCATCAAGATACTAAACTCCCCTATAACTGGGACACTTCTCTAAGGGGAAACTAATTACATAATCCCCCAATCCTAATGGGCCTCGGTCCTTAATATCCCAGGCCTAGTTATGGACCACAAACCTAATGGGTACCCCTAAACTGATGTCCCACAACTTAATACTGTCAGTCTTAATGGGTAACTTAGGGTGCTTAAAGTTCATTTGATTCCGGGGTGCCTTAAGTTCACGTGATCCCGGGGTGCCTAAAATTCAGTTGGTTCCTCCTTCCTTCTTTCCTCCCTCTCTCTCTCCTTCCCTCCCTCGCTTCCTACTATCCTTCCTTCCTCCCACCCTCCCCTACCTTCCTCCCTCCCCTACCCTCTGCCTTCCTCCCACCCTCCTCCTTCCTCCCATTCTCCTCCTCCTCCTCTCCTTCCCTCCCTCTCTCTTCCTCCCTCCCTCCTCCTCCTCCTCCTCTCCCTCCCTCCTTCTCTCCCTCCCACCCTCCCTCCTTCTCTCCCTCTCCTCCCCTCTCCCTCCTCCCTCCTCCTCTCCCTCCCTCCTCTCTCCCTCCCTCCTCCCTCCTCCTCTCCCTCTCTCCCTCCTCCTTCTCCCTCCCTCCTCCTCCTCCCTCCTTCTCTCTCCTCCCTCCTCTTCTCTCCCTCCCTCCTTTCTCTCTCCCTCCCCCTCCCTCCCTCCTCCTTCTCTCCCTCCCTCCCTCCTCCCCCTCCCTCTCCTCCCCTCCTCCCTCCTCCCTCCTCCTTCCTCCCTCCTCCTCCCTCCTCTCTCTCCCCCTCTCCCTCCCTCCCTCCCTCTCCCTCTCCCCTCCCTCCTCCCTCCCCTTCTCCCTCCCTCCTTCTCTCCCTCTCTCCTCTCCCCTCCCTCCCTCCTCTCTCTCCTCCCCCTCCTCCCCTCCTCCTTTCTCTCCCTCCCTCCTCCTCTCCCTCCCTCCTTCTCTCCCCTCCCCTCCCTCCCTCCCTCCTTCTCTCCCTCCCTCCTCCTCTCCCTCCCCTCCCCTCTCCCTCCCTCCTTCTCTCCCTCCCTCCTTCTCTCCCTCCCTCCCCTCTCTCCCTCCCACTCTCCCTCCCTCCCTCCCCTTCCTCTCTCCCCTCTCCTCTCCTCCTCCCTCCTCCTCCCCCTCCCTCCTCCTCTCTCCTCCTCCTCTCCTTCTCCTCCCTCTCTCCCTCCCTCCTCCTCCTCCCTCCTCCCTCCTCCCTCCCTCCTCCTCTCTCCTTCCCTCCTTCTCTCCCTCCCCCTCCCTCCATACCTTAATCTCTTCATCTGTCTTTCCTCAACCTTCTTCCTTTCGCCGTCCTTCTCCTCCTTTCCTTTCTTCCCCCCATGCCTACTTCCTCCCAAACATCCCTCCTCCTTTCCTTCCTTGCCTACTTCCCTCTTTCCCTTCCTCCATACCTTCCTTTATTATCTCCATACCTTCTTACCTCTTTCTTCCTTTTCCTCCCTCCTTGCCTATTTTCCTCTCTCCCTGTACCCTGCCATCTCACCCTGCCTCTTTCCCTCTCTCCCTACCTTCTTCCCTCTCTCCCTACCTTCTTCCCTCTCTCCCTATTTCCTACCAGAGTCAGGGGCCCCCCAGCGGTATGTCAGGGGTTCCATGGGACTACCAGGGGGGGCCCCCAGAGGCCCTACCAGAGTTATGGGCCCCATGCCATGGCCAAGGGCCTCAAACCAGGGCCAGGGGCCCCATGGGACTACCAGGGGGCACCCAGGGGCGCTATGGGAACACCAGGGGGTCCCCAGAGGCCAACAAGGGCCAGGGGCCCCATGGTACTAATAGAGGTCACCCAGAGGCCTGCCTGCCGTCCTACTTGCCTGCTTGGTTGTTTACCTGCTAGGCTGCCTGCTTGCCTGCAAGCGTGTATGCGTTCCTGCTCGCCTGTCTTTTGCCTGCAGTTCTGCTTGCAGGACTACTTGCCTACCTGACTGACTGTCTGCCTGGCTGTCTGTCTGCCTACTTGCGGGCTTTCCTGCAGTCGTGCCTGCCTGCCTGCTAGCCTGCAGGACTATATGTCGAATTGCCGGTAGTCCAGGCTGCTTGCCATCCTGCTTGCTTGCTTGCTTGCCTGCGTGCCTGCCTTTAGGACTGCTTACCTGCTTGTCCTCTTGTCTACAGTCTTGTTTGTCTGCATGCCTGCCTGTCTCCCTGCCTGCTTGCATGCTTGCCTGATTGTCTGCCTGCTTGCTTAATGACGTTCCTGTTTGCTTGTCTCTCTGCCTACCTGCTTGCTTGCTTGAATGACTGCCTGCTTGTCTGCCTGCAGTCATTCCTGCCTTCTTGCCTGATCTGCCTCAGTGCCTGCTTGCCAGCAGTCCTTCCTTCCTGCCTGCTTGCCTGCCTACTTGATGCCTGCTTGCGTGCATTCCTGCCTGCCTACGTGCTTGCCTGCTGGTCTGCTTTCCTGCCTACCTGCTTGCAGCCTTGACTGCCTGTTTAAACTGTAATAATAATAATAATAATAATAATAACAATAAACGGTTTATTAATAGAGTTGCAGCCGGTGGCTGAAAATATACAGACTTACATTAGATTTAGACATAATGATATAATATGCATTGAATACATTTACAGGGCTGTGCAGTACATAAATCAGGAGTTGTTTATTTTAACAATAGATGGGACGGTGCTGTTCTTATATCTATCGGTGCGGGCTCTTATGGGCTGAATTTTGTTGTAGTGGCGGACTGCGAGAGGTGGGTGGGGGACTGCCGGTGGCAGGAGGTGGCGATGGCGAGGGTGGTGCAGTAGTCCCCTGCCAAACCTTTCCAGTGCTTGGTGGTGGAGGTCACTGAGGGATGGCATTTTCAAGGTGGAGAGAGCGTTGGTGTAGTCGGAGTATTCTGCTTGTCTGCAGGCCTGCTTGCCTGCTTGTCTGCAGGCCTGCTTGTCTGCAGGCCTGCTTGTCTGGCCGCTTGCCTGCCTGTCTGCTTGCATGCTTGCCTAGTTGTCCACTTTCCTGCTTGCGGGCCTGTCTGCCTGCCCTTCTGGCAGACTTCTTGCCTGCAGTTCTTCCTGCCTGTCTACTTTCCTATCTGCTTACTTGCTTGCAGGCCTGGCTGCTTGTGTATCTGCCTGATTGCGTACAGCCCTGACTGCTTTCTTGCCTGCAGTACTGCCCGTCTGCCTGCCTGGCTGTTTGACTGCCTCCCTGCCTGTCTGTCTGCTTGCTTGCTTATCTGCCTGCCTGTCTGCCTGTGTACTTGCCTGCCTGCCTGTCTGCTTGCCTGCCAACCTCCTTGCTTCCTTGCCTGCAGTCCTTAATGCCTGCTTGCCTACTTTTCTGCCTGCCTGCATGCCTGCCTACTTACAGTCCTTCCTGCCTGCTTGCCTGCATTCCTGCCTGGCCGTGTGTCCGCCTGATTGCGTGCAGCACTGACTGCCTGCTTGCCTGCTGTACTGCCCGTGCACAGAGGGCCTCACATGGGCCCACCGAGTGTCCCAGGGGACCAAGGACCCCCACAGGGGCCCAAGATCCCTCCTAGGGGCCCTCCCAGCTGCCCAGGGGCCCTCCCAGGAGACAAGGGGTTCTGTCAGGGGCCCAGGGGCCCTCCAAGAGGTTCAGGAACCTTCTTAGGGGCCCAGGGACCAGCCCAAAGGCCCAAGATCCTTCCTAGGGGCCCAAGAACAGCATCCCCAGGGAATCAGAGGCCCTCCCAGTTGTCCAGGGGACAAGGGGTCCTGTCAGGGGCTCTTCAAGAGGCCATGGAACCTTCTCATGCGCCCAGGGACCCAAAACAAAAGCCCTCTCAGGGGGTCCTCCTAAGGACCCAGGAGCCCCCCCCCCTCCAGGGGCCCAGAGACATTTCCAAGGGTTTAGAGGCCGTCCCAGGGTCCAGGAGCCCTCTCGGGGGCCTAGTAGCCCTCTTAGGTGCCCAAGGGCCCTCCCAAAAACCCACGAGCAATCCCGGGGGACCTCCGATGACCCAAGGGACCCTCCCAGGGGCCTTGGGGACCTCCGAGGGGCCCAGAGGACGGCCGAGAGGTACAGGGAATAGCCGAGGGTCCAGGGGACCACCGAAGGGTCATGTTGACCTCTGAGGGGCCCAGTAGCCATCTCAGGGGATCAGAACCCCTCCCATCTGTGCAGAAGCCCTCTCAAAAGCCATCCCAAGGGCCCAGGAGCCCTCTCAGGGGCTGCCCCAGGAGCCCATTCGCCCTCCCAGGGGCCAGGGACATGACCAGTAGTCTAGAGGCCCTCCAAGGGTCCCTCCCAGTGCCCAGGAGCCCTAACAGGCGCACAGGGGCCATCTCAAGGGTGGTTTCAGGTGCCCAAGGGCCCTGTTGAAGGTCCAGGAATCATCTCAGGGGCCCTCTTAGCTGACTAGGAGCCCTCTTATGGGTCCAGGGAACCTCCCTGGGACACAAAGCAAGCCCAGAGGCCCTAACAAGGGTCTTCCCAGGGGCCATGGGGACCTCCGAGGGGCTCAGGGGAAAGCCGGGGGGCCCAGAAATGCTGCGAGGGTCCCAAAGGCCTTCCCAGGGAACCAGGAGCCTTGCCAGAGTACCAAGGGCCCGCCCCTGGGCCGATTAGGACTCCCAGGCGCCTTTCCAGTTGCTGCCCTCCCAGGGGTCCAGGGATCCGCTCACATGCACTCTCAGGTTCCTAAGGGGCTTTCTGGGGACACCAGGTACCCTACCAGGGAAACAGGAGCCCTCTCTTGGAACCAGGGGCCATCTTAAGGGACCAAGAGACCTCCAAGGGGCCCTCTGAGAACCCCACGGACATTCCCAGGGGACCACAGACCCTCTTAAGAGACCAGGAGCCGGCTTTTGGGCGCA